AAGTGTCAACATCAGGAAGCATCGGTGCCCTCTCTTAATAGCGTATATAATTGGCGACTTGTCGAGCATTCTATGACTTCCATAGATTTCTATCAATTCTCCTTGCAAACTAAATACTGCAAATCAAACGTCCCATGTAATGCATGTTTAGTCAAGATCTTTAGTTATAAATAAGGCAGATTTTATTTGATATGACAAGGAGAAAAAATGTAGCAAAACTGGTTCAAAGGGAAGAGAAAGGGAATTATTTTAAGAATAAACATATTACAATGGATAAATTTGAAATCAAAAGTTTTGAAGAACAAATTAAACTTTCTATGCACGTAGATATGATGCTTCCAGATCAAAACAAATCAAGAATGCTCAGTAAACAAGAGATGAACAGCATGAACTATATATACTAAAAAGTTTGTCAACATATGAAGAGGACATAGAAAAGGTTTATAGTTACAATATCTGTTAAGCACATGGCAGTCTATTTATATTAAATATTCTCTAAACCTTATGATTGAAACCAATACTTAGAAGTATCACTTGCAGAAATTAGGCTCTTGGGATGTTTATTCAGAAGACTGTTAAATTAGTTTAACTTAAGTAGATATTTGCTTTTATGAAGGTTTATCAACAAAAACACTAGTTATACACAATGCAACTCATCTGATACAACTAAATACAGATAATACTTATCAGATAGTCAGTATCTAATCAAGTATATGGCCAAAACAGATGGGTATCTAATTATCTATACAAAAATTTATGCAAAACAATATTATGCTCTAAATAAAAACACACCAGGAGAAACGGGTCTCTCCCCAGACCTGGACCGATGACTAAACAATCAAATCTCCCCATCCACTTATCAACCTCAGTGATCACCTTGTCTGATGTTGGTCTTTTATACTCATCCCTAGATACATCATTTCAGAACTATAAGCACTCCAAAGAAAAATTCAGTATAATAAAACTGGAAAGATAGATTTAACAAGAATTTACTAAACAATGATAAAGTTCATTAAGGAAAGATATTACCTAACACTATAAGATTCTTCCAGTATAGGGTGCACGATCAACATGTCCAATCATGATGAATATCTCAAGCAGTCGACAAGAAGAAA